GGCGCGCGCGAGGGCCAGCCGATGCGCTTGTACTTGCACTGGGTCACCCTGGGCAGTGACAGCAGTTGGCCTGCATCCCAGGCAGGGGCTCCTGCCTGCCCGCCCACACAGCCACCACCTCTCCCTCGGGACACCCGTGCCCGAGGCCAGCCCCCAGGACAGTGTCAAAGCACAGGTGGGGGTGGCAGCCTCCTGGGCCCAGCCCGTGGGTAGCCTCACGCCACGTTCCCAGCTGCCCTGGCCTGAGCAGCCCCCCTCTGAGCACCCTGGAGGGCCAGGGTTAGAGTGAGGCCGGCACAGCCCCGGTCCCAAGGCCCAGATGGGAGGCCTGCTAGACCATCCTGCGCGGGGCCCGCCTGGGCCTGTGGTACCTGTCCTGGCACTCCTCCTTCTGATGCCGCTCCAGGACAGAGCGGGGAAACTGGCGCAAGCAGAAGCCACACTCGGAGGGCAGCTCGCTGACGGCTTTCTCCACGGCCAGGTTCCGGCAGCAGAGGCTCTTACTGATCTCACAGCGACAGTTGGGGCACGTGGCCTGCTCCTCCTTCAGCCGGGCATCTGCTAGTAGGTGGATAAAACAGCCAGCGCACATCAAGTGACCGTTAGTGCACTGCGGAGAAGGAAAGGGAGATGAGGTTCACAGACCCGCGGGCCTCGCGCACATGCGCAGCCCACGCCACAGCTGGGCCAGCATGGCCATCCGAGGGACTCCGAGGACAACTGCACATCTGTCCTGAGCTGGGCTGGCACTCAGCAGACACCGGGAGCTGCACAGGGATCAAGGAGCAGCCCCCGCCAAGGGTGGGGTCTCAGCAGGGCCTCTGCAGCTTGGCTCTGTTCTTGCCTGTGGCCCCCAAAGGGCGACTGGTGTGGCCAGGGGGTCGGGGTGGGGCTCAGGCAATATCCTGAGTTCTCACTGACCCTGATCAAAGAACACCTACGGGTATGAACGGGGTGCCCAGCCAGCAGCTGTCCAGTGGAGCAGTGGGCACTGGTTCCCCATGCCGAGACAGTCAGTCTCCTTGGCTTTCAGACTGGCTGGCCACCCGACAGCTATGGCAGGCAAGAGGCTGAGCTAGCCCAGGGCAGGGCAGGCGGACACAACCAGTGTGCTAGGAGAAGGAGGAAGGGGGACTGTGGGCAGGATACGGGCTCAGTGAGGACCCTTGCGAACACAGGCTGGGCAGCACTCCTGCCTTGGGCTTCTGGTTGGATGTCTGCATCCTGAATGCCCACTTGGGGCCACCAGGACAGGCAGTGGGCTGTGAGCCCTGCCCTCACAGTACAGGGAAGGAGGCCCGGAACAAAACCAGAGTCACGGGGGTGGCGGTGGAGGGTGGTCAGGGCACTGCAGGCCGGCAGGGTGGGGCAGGCACCCCATTCAGAGACACAGAGGGCGGGGAGGGGTGTGACTACTCAGCTGTCCCGGGTGCCCTTTGCAGGCCTCCAGTGTGACTGGCCTCCAGTGTGGCTGGGCTCCAGTGTGGCTGGGCTTGCGTGGAGAGACCTCCAGCCCCACTGCAGTGTGTGTCATGGCAGGGACGCTCAGTGGGTTTAGCCAGGCTGTCTGGGCCCAGGGTAACCCTGGCTGGCACCTGCTACTGCAGGTGCCTGCACCCAAGGTCGAGCAAGCTTTCAACACCAGGGCCAGGCCTGGGCCCTGAGCACAGGCCTACACAAGGGCAGCGGTGAAGGCCTCATCCTCACGCACTCTGACATTGCTGACTGGCGGCCGACCCCGAGTCCTGGTGAGGTTCAGAGCTACGATGCACACGAGGCAGGAACAGGGCCCAGCAGGGCAAGAAAATTGGCTGCCCATTTCCAGGGGTCAGCGGTGAGTGAACAGAGGTGAGGTGGGCAGAGGGGCTCCAGCTGCCTCGTGGGAGGCACAAACCAAGGCCACACCATGTGGCAGGCAGGCCCAGGCGCTGCAGCCATCTGTAGAGCTGTGGGAAGCTGCGTCCCAACTGCTGCAGGAAGGGCCACAAGGGCTCTGGGGTGCGGGGCCGACCACATGGCAAGCAGCACCACTCAGCCGCCAGGCTGCTCCCACAGCTGCCTGGTCCTGCGGAGGGTCTGGCCAGCTTGGCACAGCAATCTCGGCCCAGCGGCCAGTATGAGGGGAGGTGCGCTCTGCCTAGCGGTGGCCTGGCCCCACTCGGCTTTTCCTCTTGCAGAGCCCTAAGCCCTTTGGGGGCTTGGAGGTCACCAAGCGCATTGTCAGGTATCTCCCAGCAGCATCGACCACCCTCAGCCAAAGCACAAGTGTCCAGGGTGGACCTAGGCCCCATTCCTCCATCCCTGCGGCACACCCTGCCACAGGGGACAGGTGGAACCCTGCACTCTGCTGGCCTCCTGGGGCTACTGCCTCTGCCCCAGTCCTAAAAGCTGCCAAGTCAGAATCTTGCAAGTCCAAGATGCTCTGGGGTCCAGCCAGAGGACACCCCAAGGAATGTCCCCAGGGACTCTAGGAGGCTAGCTCGGCCCACGTGAGTGGTCAGCATGCTCCCAGAGCTTCCGCGTGGCCTCCTGCACAAGACCCTACTCCAGCACACAGCCTGGCCAGTCTGCCACACCCTCGGCCTGCCAAGACCACGTCTAGTAAAGCTGGGATGGGTGACTGCAGAGTGCCAGCCACGTGCTGAACCTGCAGAGGGCAGCAATGCCAGGGCAGACCCCATGGGGTGTGCAGGGAGCCCACAGCTGGGGACAATACTGCAGGGCCTCCCAGGCTCCCCAGGACAGGGGCTACAGAGCTAGTGCTGGCCTCATGCTTCAGCCCACAGGTCATCAGCCCACGACCACGGGCTTGTCACTGTCCCTCCTTGCCATTTTCTCACTTGCACAAGGCTCACAGCGGTGGATGAGCCTAGCCGCATGCTGGTGTGCATGCTGGCAGGCAGGAGGCTGACACCAGCACCCAGCAAACACAGGGTCCCCACCATGGTCACCACGTAGCACCCATCAAGGCCCCAGTCAGGTCCTTTGCAGAAGCAGCATCGGCACCGGCACCCCGGACAGCACCCAGCCCTCCCCGTGCCTGTGACAGGTAGCTTGTGTGGGTCCAGCCTGCGCATGCTGGGGCTCTCGTCGGAGCCAGCCACTCCCCTGCGTTACAGGGATGAACAGGTTGGCCAGGCTAAAGGAGAGCCTGGTCCTGTGTGCCCTGGGCTGTCGGCAGCTCTCGAGGGCAGCCCCAGTCCCCTGAGGTCAGCTGGCTTCTCGGGATATTTTGGCCTGGGCTGCATGGACCCCTGAAGCCCTGGTGACCATCTTTTTACCAGAGACCAGCACAGCGCTGGGGCTACCACGAACAGCCTACCCTCAGTCCCAGGAGTCAAGGACGCACAGGTCCACACAGGCCCACCAACCTCCTGAGAGGACAGCTGGAGGGCTTCCCCACAGGCACTGGGGGAGGGAGAGGACCCTCTTCCTCCTCGAGCCTTCCCTGGCTATCTAGCTCCACCCGTGGCTCTTCACCTCCTTAATCAAGTAGGCCCTGAAGGAGATGGGGCACTGCCACAGGCCACACAGCACTGAACCTGACACCCTGCTGGGCTGGTCGGAGCAGCCGCCCCATCAGCCAGCCCCCCGGGCTCACTGGAAGGCAAGGGTGCTGAGCCACTCAGCGACAAGCACCGCACACAACCCAGCTCCTCCCTTGACCCACGGCCCCAGACTCTCCTTGCTCTGGCCCGCCAGCTCTGGGTGCGTGAACAGAAGCTCAGAACAAACCAGTGAGCTAGGCTGGCCCTCACAGGGCCAGGCCCTCACAGGGCGCATGGGCACAGAGGGAGCAGTTCTGCTTCCTGGTTTCGTGAACTGGCTGCGGGCCTGTGACCATCCTCCTCCCAGAGGGCAGAGGCAGTGCCCTCGTCAGGTGGGGCAGGGCATGTGAGGGGGCACGGGCACCTCGAAGACAGGGACAGAAAGGCCTCAGAGTGGACGTTGCCTCAGTGGTCCAAGGGTAGGAGCACTGGATGGGCACGCTTCATAGTTCCTTGCCAAGTATCCAGCACCAAGTCCATGCAGTAGGAAGGGTCAGGGCTTGGTCTGCCTCCTGCCCTAGGGCCTACGGGGACTGCACACCTCAGCAGGACAGTCACCCAAGATGCACTTCCACCCACAAGGGGGACATTGAAGATCTGCGTGCTGGCCTCGCTGGGAGAAACAGGCTTCGACAGCAGGCCACACACACGAGGGCCTGGCCCAACGGGGCAAGCTTGCGGCCTGTGCCGTGTTGGCTGTGCCAGGTTGCATAGACCCGAGGGCTGAGGCTCAGGAGCACATGCCCTCCACCAAGCCCACGCACCTGAAGGTGGCCCCACCTGAGGCCTCCTTCGCAGTGGGTGGTATCTGGTGGCTGGAAAAGCAGCTCTCGGGTGACCACGCACCAGCCAACGCCAGGCCCGTGATGTCCCTGTTCCAGCAGAGGCCCAGTCCAGGGCTGAGCACATGGCCTGCCTCTTCTCACTGTCTGGACCACCCCAAGCCACGTGTTCTGCTGGGGTTAGGCAAGGGGGAGCCACCACGTGCCTGAGTCAGCCCCACTCACCAGTGAAGGCTCATGGGAGACGTGGTGGCCAGCAGTGGCCCAGGGACACGTGAAGGCGGCAGGCTGGGGCTCATGCCACCTGTGCTCAGATCCTCAGGGCAGGTTGGGCCAGGGCCCAGGAGGCAGGCCTGTTGTGGCTCCATGGCAGTGAACACGGATGCAGGGATGCACAGTGACCGCATGTGGCTGGGAGGTGCCCCGAGCATCGGAGACCACGCCTGTCCGGGCTCTATTTCCCCAAGTCACACAGTCGTGTCCAAGCAGCCAGAAGCCAGAGTGAGTTACATGAGCCTGAAGACTCTCCCACACACCTTAGAGCTTCCTTCTGACCCCTAAAGACAATAGGGAGCACCTCCGCTACAGGCTCAGGTGTCAGGTGGGAAGAATGGAAGGGAAGGCCAGAAGCAGCGGCTCAGCTGGTCGGTCCTGGACAGCCCAGGGCCTTTGCTGTCCACTCTAGCTGCTGGGCCGTGGCCCTGGCCACTCCGGGTAGAGCTTAGCTCCCAGCACAATGAGGGCCGGTGTGAGCCCACCAGGCTGAGACAAGGCTGGAGGCAGAGTGGGAACTCTGTGCTAGGCCAGCCGGCTGGGGACCCAGTGGGCTGCAGCACCACCTAGACTGTGACCACACCCAGTCCAGCTCCAGCCTGTCCAGACCAAGAAGCAGAGACCCCTCAGCTCCCTGGGACCCCCCCCCCCAACATAAGTGCAGATCAAC